TTTTGTATTGTTCTGTGTTCCAAGACAAAGAACATTTACGCCAAGTGTTACTTAAAATCAAGAAAATATTATTCACGAGTTTTAGTGAAGTTTGTGTGAAGGTTTGTGTCAGTTCATTAAGTGGGTTTCCTGCAGCTTGTTAAGTCAAGACTCTCAGACACATTGTATCTTGTTGGCGGGTGTTGTGTTATACCTTAATATACCGGCAGCTCAGGCAGCTTACAAGATGTTATTAATATCTGCCGCGTCATTCTTGTTTGATACTGTGTGTGTGTGTGTGTGTGTGTGTGTGTGTGTGTGTGTGTGTGTGTGTGTGTGTGTGTGTGTGTGTGTGTGTGTGTGTGTGTGTGTGTGTGTGTGTGTGTCGCTCATTTCAATAATTTTATGAGTTTAATAATTTACATATATTGTCAGCTGTGTTTTGTTGTTGTTGTGGGTAGTGGTAGTAGTGGTAGTAGTGGTAGTGTGGTGGTAGTAGTGGTAGTGGTGGTAGTAGTGGTAGTGGTGGTAGTGGTGGTAGTGGTAGTGGTAGTAGTGGTAGTGGTGGTAGTGGTGGTAGTTAGTGGTAGTGGTGGTAGTGGTGGTAGTGGTGGTAGTAGTGGTAGTGGTGGTAGTAGTGGTAGTGGTGGTAGTAGTGGTAGTGGTGGTAGTGGTGGTAGTGGTGGTAGTAGTGGTAGTGGTGGTAGTAGTGGTAGTAGTGGTAGTAGTGGTAGTGGTGGTAGTAGTGGTATGGTATGTGGGTGGTATAGTGGTAGTGGTGGTAGTAGTGGTAGTGGTGGTAGTGTGGTAGTGGTGGTAGTAGTGGTAGTGAGTGGTAGTAGTGGTAGTAGGTGGTAGTGGTGGTAGTAGTGGTAGTGGTAGTAGTGGTAGTAGTGTGGTAGTGGTGGTAGTAGTTGGTAGTGTAGTGGTAGTAGTGGTAGTGGTGGTAGTAGTGTAGTAGTGTGTGGTAGTGTGGTAGTGGTAGTGGTAGTAGTGGTAGTAGTTAGTGTTAGTAGTGTGTAGTAGTGTAGTGTAGTAGTGGTAGTGGTAGTAGTGGTAGTAGTGGTAGTAGTAGTTGTAATATTAGTAGTTGTGATAGTAGTAGTAGTAGTAGTAGTGGTAGTAGTGGTAGTGGTAGTGGTAGTAGTAGTTGTAATATTAGTAGTTGTGATAGTAGTAGTAGTAGTAGTAGTAGTGGTAGTAGTGGTAGTGGTAGTAGTAGTAGTGGTAGTAGTGAGTAGTAGTAGTAGTGAGTAGTAGTATGTGGTAGTAGTAAGTGGTAGTAGTGTAGTGTAGTGTGGTAGTAGTAAGTAGTGTAGTGTAGTGATGTAGTGTAGTAGGTGTGTTGTGATAGTAGTAGTAGTGGTAGTAGTGTAGTAGTAGTGGTGTATAGTGTAGTAGTGGATAGTAGTAGTAGTGGTGGTAGTGTAGTAGTAGTAGTGTGTAAGTAGTTAGTAGTGTGTAGTAGTAGTAGTAGTGGTAGTGAGTAGTAGTAGTAGTGATAGTTGAGTAGTAGTAGTAGTGGTAGGTGTAGTAGTAGTAGTGAGTATAGTGTAGTAGTGGTAAGTAGTTAGTAGTGTGATAGTAGTAGTAGTGTGTATGTTAGTAGATAGTGGTAGTAGTAGTGTAGTAGTAGTGGTAGTAGTAGTAGTATAGTAGTGGTAGTAGTGTAGTAGTTAGTGGTGTAGTGTATAGTAGTGAGTAGTATGTGTAGTAGTTGTGTAGATGTAGTAGTAGTAGTAGTAGTGGAGTAGTAGTGGTAGTAGTAGTGTAGTAGATGAGTAGTAGTAGGTAGTAGTAGTAGTGATAGTAGTAGTAGTGGTTAGTAGTAGTAGTGGTAGTAGTATTTAGTATTAGTAGTGTGATAGTAGTAGTGAGTGGTAGTAGTAGTTGAAGTAAGGTGGATAGTAGTAGTAGTGGTAGTGGTAGTAGTAGGTATAGTAGTGTGTAGTAGTAAGTAGTGTAGTGTAGTGTATATAGTAGTGAGTAGTAGTAGTAGTGTGTATTAGTTTGGTATAGTGAGTAGTGATAGTAGTAGTAGTGTAGATAGTAGTATGTAGTGTGTAGTAGGTAGTAGTGGTAGTAGAGTAGTATAGGTAGAGGTAGTAGTTGAGTAGTATGAGTAGTAGTGTTAGTAGTAGTGGTGTGTAGTAGTATGTAGTATTAGTAGTGTAGTGATAGTAGTAGTAGTGGTAGTAGTGGTAGGTAGTGTAGTAGTTATAGTGTAGTAGTGAGTGGTAGTAGTAGTAGTGTAGTGAGTAGTAGTAGTAGTAGTGTGGTAGTATAGTAGTGTAGTAGTAGTGTAGTAGTAGTGGTAGTAGTTGTTGAGTAGTAGTAGTAGTGGTGTAGTAGTAGTGTGTAGTAGTAGTAGTAGTAGTGAGTAGTAGTAGTAGTGAGTAATAGTAGTAGTGGTAGTAGTAGTAGTAGTATAGTAGTAGTAGTTGTAGTTAGTAGTGTAGAGTAGTAGTAGTGTAGTAGTAGTAGTAGTGGTGGTAGTAGTGTAGTGGTGTAGTAGTTGTAGTAGTGATGTTATGTGAGTAGTAAGTAGTGTAGTAGTTAGTAGTGGTGAGTGAGTAGTGTTAGGGTAGTAGTAGTTATAGGGTAGTATTTAGTAGTAAGTATAGTGGATTAGTAGTAGTAGTAGTAGTAGTGTGTACTAGTAGTTGAGTAGTGGTAGTAGTAGTGGTGGTTAGTAGTGGTAGTTAGTAGTAGTGGTGGTAGTAGTGGTGGTAGTAGTGAGTGGTAGTAGTGTAGGTAGTAGTAGTGGTGAGTAGTAAGTAGTTGGTAAGTAGTAGTAGTGGTATGTTAGTAGTAGTAGTGGCTAGTAGTAGTAGTAGCGGTAGTAGTAGTAATAGTAGTAACAGCAGGAAAAGTAGCAGTATTAACAATAGTAGTAGTATTAGTAGTAAAATCAGTAGTAGTAATAACAGTGGTAGTAGCAGTACCACTACCACCACCAACGCCAACCACCAACCACCAACCACCACCACCACCAGTACCCCAACTAACACCTGCTTCTCTCTACTCCCCACAGAGTAACCACCACCACCACACCACCATCACCACCAGTACCCCTACTAACCCCTGCTTCTCTCTCCTTCCCACAGAGTAACCACCACCACCACCACCACCATCACCACCAGCACCCCCACTAACACCTGCTTCTCTCTCTTTCCCACAGAGTAACCTCCACCACCAGTACCCCACTAACACCTGCTTCTCTCTCCCTCCCACAGAGTAACCACCACCACCACCACCAGTACCCCCACTAACACCTGCTTCTCTCTCCCTCCCACAGAGTAACCACCACCACCACCACAACCAGTACTCCCACTAACACCAGCTTCTCTCTCCTTCTCACAGAGTAACCACCACCACCTCCACTAGTACCCCCACTAACACACAGCTTCTCTCTCCCTCCCACAGAGTAACCACCGTCACCAGTACCCCCACTAACACCAGCTTCTCTCTACCTTCCCACAGACTAACCACCACCACCAGTACCCCCACTAACACCAGCTATCTCTCTCACTTCCCACAGACTAACCACCACCACCAGTACCCCAACTAACACAGCTTCTCTCTCCTTCCCACAGAATAACCACCACCACCACCAGTACCCCCACTAACACCTGCTTCTCTGTACTTCCCACAGAGTAACCACCACCACCACCACCACCACCCACCACCACCACCACCACCACCACCACCAGTACCCCCACTAACACCTGCTTCTCTGTACTTCCCACAGAGTAACCACCACCACCACCACCAGTACCCCCACTAACACCTGCTTCTCTACTCCCCACAGAGTAACCACCACCACCACCAATACCCCCACTAACACCTGCTTCTCTCTACTCCCCACAGAGTAACCACCACCACCACCACCAGTACCCCCACTAACACCTGCTTCTCTGTACTTCCCACAGAGTAAACACCAACCCCCCCACCACAGTACCCCCACTAACACCTGCTTCTCTGTACTCCCCACAGAGTAACCACACCACCACCACCAGTACCCCCACTAACACCTGCTTCTCTCTACTCCCCACAGGTAACCACCACCACACCAGTACCCCACTAACACCTGCTTCTCTGTACTTCCCACAGAGTAACCACCACCACCACCAGTACCCCACTAACACCTGTCTTCTCTGTACTCCCCACAGAGTAACCACCACCACCACCAGTACCCCCACTAACACCTGCTTCTCTGTACTCCCCACAGAGTAACCACCACCACCACCACCAGTACCCCCACTAACACCTGCTTCTCTCTACTCCCCACAGAGTAACCACCACCACCACCAGTACCCCCACTAACACCTGCTTCTCTGTACTTCCCACAGAGTAACCACCAACCACCACCACCACCAGTACCCCCACTAACACCTGCTTCTCTGTACTCCCCACAGAGTAACCACCACCACCACCACCAGTACCCCCACTAACACCTGCTTCTCTGTACTCCCCACAGAGTAACCACCACCACCACCACCAGTACCCCCACTAACACCTGCTTCTCTCTACTCCCCACAGAGTAACCACCACCACCAGTACCCCCACTAACACCTGCTTCTCTCTACTCCCCACAGAGTAACCACCACCACCACCAGTACCCCCACTAACACCTGCTTCTCTCTACTCCCCACAGAGTAACCACCACCACCAGTACCCCCACTAACACCTGCTTCTCTGTACTCCCCACAGAGTAACCACCACCACCACCACCAGTACCCCACTAACACCTGCTTCTCTCTACTTCCCACAGAGTAACACCACCACCAGTACCCCCACTAACACCTGCTTCTCTCTACTTCCCACAGAGTAACCACCACCACCAGTACCCCCACTAACACCTGCTTCTCTCTACTCCCCACAGAGTAACCACCACCACCACCACCAGTACCCCCACTAACACCAGCTTCTCTCTACTTCCCACAGAGTAACCACCACCACCAGTACCCCCACTAACACCTGCTTCTCTCTACTCCCCACAGAGTAACCACCACCACCAGTACCCCCACTAACACCTGCTTCTCTCTACTCCCCACAGAGTAACCACGTACATCGCACTTCCTACAGAATCAAAGCCTTCAGTCATGTGTTTACTGTCGACCTCCAGCTCAACACGTAAGAAACTGTTCCTTTTTTTTATCTATACTTAAATGTTCAAAAGTAACTTATTCTCGCTACTTAATTGACTAAGAGTAGCTTCAGTTCACGAAAGTGTTACTTAAGTGTTTGTAAGTGGCTTGCCACATCTGAATACTAGTTACTTGGGACTTTTTTTAAGTTGACTAATGCTTGTGATTGCTTGTTAACATTATGTACTCTGTGATTGTTTGTTATTAGATGTGTACTTGATGATTGTGTGTGTTTGTTAAGCAACACGTACTCTGTGACTGTGTGTTAAACAACATGTACTCTGTGATTGTGTGTTTAAACAACACGTACGCTGTGATTGTGTGTTTAAACAACACATACTCTGTGATTGTGTGTTTAAACAACACGTACGCTGTGATTGTGTGTTTAAACAACATGTACTCTGTGATTGTGTGTTAAACAACATGTACTCTGATTGTGTGTTTAAACAACACGTACGCTGTGATTGTGTGTTTAAACAACACGTACGCTGTGATTGTGTGTTTAAACAACACGTACGCTGTGATTGTGTGTTTAAACAACACGTACGCTGTGATTGTGTGTTTAAACAACACGTACTCTGTGATTGTTTTTTAAATATCACGTACTCTGTGACTGTGTGTTTAAACAACATGTACTCTGTGACTGTGTTTGAACAACACGTACTCTCTGACTGTCTGTTAAACAACACGTACTCTGTGAATGTGTTTATCAGTGAACATGTATCCTGTAGACTATAATGAGTAAGACACATGTGCAACACCTAGGTGTCTGAGAGACGTTGCACCCTGCACCACAGGTGCAGGAAAACCGAGTCTTACACTGTGTGGTAGAAGCCAGTGGGGAAAAACATAGCGGTGCAGCAGTTGTAGAGGTGGTCACATGTGAGCGGGGGCTTTCCCCTCATCACTGTCAGGTGTAATGATATATGTTATCCTCGTCAGGTGTTATTCCTTTATGTATTGCAGACTGCAACTGTGCTGTTGTGTTGTTGCAGGCAATTGCTGTCTCCCAGTCTGATGGCTCACCACCGCGCTGCAAGAGACAGGTCAAGCCAGGTCGATCACCAGGTAAGAAAGAAGTCTTGTTATATTCACGAACATTAAGTCTTTAAGACTTAATTTCTCCGTTTAGTTAGGTAGCTTTCTCACTGATTCTTGTATATATTCTAAATTTAATGAATTTCTTCCATAAATTATTTATGCAATAATGTTTCAGAGATTTATTATACACATCAATGTCATAATACACTAATGCATATATATATAATATATATATATATATATATATATATATATTTTTTTTTTTTTTTTTTTTTTTTTTTTTTCAACAAGTCGGCCGTCTCCCTACCGAGGCAGGGTGACCCAAAAAAGAAGAGAAATCCCCAAAAAAGAAAATACTTTCATCATTCAACATTTTCACCACACTCACACATTATCACTGCTTTTGCAGAGGTGCTCAGAATATAACAGTTTAGAAGCATATACATATAAAGATACACAACATATCCCTCCAAACTGCCAATACCCAAACCCCTCCTTTAAAGTGCAGGCATTGTACTTCCATTTCCAGGACTCAAGTCCGACTATATGAAAATAACCGGTTTCCCTGAATCCCTTCACTAATATTACCCTGCTCACACTCCAACAGATCGTCAGGTCCCAAGTATCATTCGTCTCCATTCACTCCTATCTAACACGCTCATGCACGCTTGCTGGAAGTCCAAGCCCCTCACCCACAAAACCTCCTTTACCCCCTCTTTCCAACCCTTTCGAGGACGACCCTACCCCTCTTTCCTTCCCCTATAGATTTATATGCTTTCCATGTCATTCACTTTGATCCATTCTCTCTAAATGACCAAACCACCTCAACAACCCCTCTTCTGCCCTCTGACTAATGCTTTTATTAACTTCACACTTCTCCTAATTTCCACACTCCGAATTTTCTGCATAATATTTACACCACACATTGCCCTTAAACAGGACATCTCCACTGCCTCCAACCGTCTCCTCGCTGCTGCATTTACCACCCAAGCTTCACACCCATATAAGAGTGTTGGTACTACTATACTTTCATACATTCCCTTCTTTGCTTCCATAGATAACGTTTTTTGACTCCACATATACCTCAACGCACCACTCACCTTTTTTCCCTCATCAATTCTATGATTAACCTCATCCTTCATAAATCCATCCGCCGACAGGTCAACTCCCAAGTATCTGAAAACATACTCCTCCTCCCCAATTTGATATCCAATTTTTCTTTATCTAAATCATTTGATACCCTCATCACCTTACTCTTTTCTATGTTCACTTTCAACTTTCTACCTTTACACACATTCTCAAACTCATCCACTAACCTTTGCAATTTTTCTTTAGAATCTCCCATAAGCACAGTATCATCAGCAAAAAGTAACTGTGTCAATTCCCATTTTGAATTTGATTCCCCATAATTTAATCCCACCCCTCTCCCGAACACCCTAGCATTTACTTCTTTTACAACCCCATCTATAAATATATTAAACAACCATGGTGACATTACACATCCCTGTCTAAGACCTACTTTTACCGGGAAGTAGTCTCCCTCTCTTCTACACACCCTAACCTGAGCCTCACTATCCTCATAAAAGCTCTTTACAGCATTTAGTAAACTTACCACCTATTCCATATACTTGCAACATCTGCCACATTGCTCCTCTATCCACTCTATCATATGCCTTTTCTAAATCCATAAATGCAATAAAAACTTCCCTACCTTTATTAAATACTGGTTCACATATATGCTTCAATGTAAACACTTGATCTACACATCCCCTACCCACTCTGAAGCCTCCTTGCTCATCCGCAATTCTACATTCTGTCTTACCTCTAATTCTTTCAATTATAACCCTACCGTATACTTTTCCTGGTATACTCAGTAAACTTATTCCTCTATAATTTTTACAATCTCTTTGTCCCCTTTCCCTTTATATAAAGGGACTATACATGCTCTCTGCCAATCCCTAGGTATCTTCCCTCTTTCATACATTTATTAAACAAAAGTACCAACCACTCCAACACTATATCCCCCCCTGCTTTTAACATTTCTGTCATGATCCCATCAGTTCCAGCTGCTTTACCCCCTTTCATTCTACGTATGCCTCATGTACCTCCACCACACTTACATTCTGCTCTTCTTCACTCCATAAAAGATGGTATACCTCCCTGGCCAGTGTATGAAATTACCGCCTCCCTTTCTTCCTCAACATTTAAAAGTTCCTCAAAATATTCTCGCCATCTACCTAATACCTCCCTCTCCCCATCTACTAACTCCCCTACTCTGTTTTTAACGGACAAATCCATACTTTCCCTAGGCTTTCTTAACTTGTTTAACTCACTCCAAAATTTTTTCTTTATTTTCATTAAAATTTCTTGACAGTGCCTCTCCCACTCTTTCATCTGCTCTCCTTTTGCACTCTCTCACCACTCTCTTCACCTTTCTTTTACTCTCCATATACTCTGCTCTTCTTTATAACACTTCTGCTTTGTAAAAACCTCTCGTAAGCTACCTTTTCTCTTTTATCACACCCTTTACTTCATCATTCCACCAATCACTCCTCTTTCCTCCTGCCCCCACCCTCCTATAACCACAAACTTCTACCCCACATTCTAATACTGCATTTTAAAACTATTCCAACCCTCTTCAACCCCCCACTACTCATCTTTGCACTAGCCCACCTTTCTGCCAATAGTCGCTTATATCTCGCCCTAACTTCCTCCTCCTTAGTTTATACACTTTCACCTCCCTCTTACTTGTTGTTGCACCTTCCTCTTTTCCCATCTACCTCTTACTCTAACTGTAGCTACAACTAAATAATGATCCGATATATCAGTTGCCCCTCTATAAACATGTAATCCTGGAGCCTACCCATCAATCTTTTATCCACCAATACATAATCTAACAAACTACTTTCATTACGTGCTACATACCTTGTATTTTATTTATCCTCTTTTTCATAAAATATGTATTACTTATTACCAAATTTCTTTCTACACATAGCTCAATTAAAGGCTCCCCATTTACATTTACCCCTGGCACCCCAAAATTCCCTACTACTCCCTCCATAACATTTTTACCCATTTTAGCATTAAAAATCCCCAACCACCATTCCTCACATTGATTCAAAACCCCCACGCATTCACTCAACATTTCCTAGAATCTTCCTCTCCTCTAACTTCTCTTTTCCCCAGGTGCATACACCTTACTATAACCCACTTTTCACCCCAAATCTTTTTTTTACCCCACTAACCCTAATTTAACTTTTGTTCCCCTTTTCCTGCCATAGCTTACCTTCAACTTATTGTACTCCTTCTTTCTCTAACTCTATTTAAACCCCCCTGACCTAATCCCATTATTCCCCTCCACTGAAACTCTCCCCCCCCTTCAGCTTTGTTTCACTTAAAGCAAGGACTCCACTTTTTCTCCTTCTAACATCCACAATCATCTTTTTCTTATCTTTGCACAACACCCCCGCACATTCAGATTCCCCTTTGACAATTTTCTTCTTCTTATTCTTTTAGTAATTTTTACAGGAAAGGGGTTACTAGCCCATTGTTCCCCCGCATTTTAGTTGACTTTAAAAACCCATGGTTTACGAGGAAAGTTTCTTACCCCCTTTTTTCCCCGGGATATAAAGGAAAAGTAAAAAAACCCAAAGAACTATTTAAAATAAAATAAAAAAAACTCAATGGGTGGTATAAAAAAAAAGTGTCCATGTATGGTAGTGTGACCTAAGGTAAGTAGAAGAGCAAGACTACCTGTAATCTTTTATTTAAACAAAAAAACACCACATCCTCCCTCATGTAAAACAATTACAGGGTTTCTTTTACCTACTTTGCAGGGGCGGTAGTACCCCCCTGGGTGGTTGCTGTCCCAACCCACTATATATATAATAATATATATTATATAATAAAATTAAATAATATTATAATAAATTATATATATATATATAATATTAATATATATATAATATATGAAAAAAAAGAAAGTCTTTAAAATAATTTGAACGAGGTTTTAAGAAATTTCACCGAAGAAAGATATTTTATATATTGCAGAAAAATATATTTCAATAAAATTTCGTGTACTCTCCTCTCTGTCTTTCCTGTCCTCTCTCTGTCTCTCTCTCGTTTCCCCTCTGTCTCTCTCTCTGTCTCTCTCCTGTCTCTCTCTTCTTCTTCTCTGTCTCTCTCCTGTTCCCCTCTTGTCTCCCTGTCTCTCCTCTGTCCCCCTGTGTCTTCTCTGTCTCCCTCTGGTCCTCTCCTCTCTGTCTCTCTCCTGTTCTTCCCCTGTCTCTCCTCGCTCTCCTTTCCCCTCCTCTGTTTTCTCCCTTTTCTCTTCCTGTCTTCCCCTGTCTCTCTCTGTCTCTCTCTCTGTCTCTCTCTGTGTCTTCCCCTGTCTCCCTCTGTGTCTCTCTCTTCTCCTCTGTCTCTCTCTGCTCTCTTCTGTCTCTCTCTGTCTTTTCTCTCTGTCTCTCTCTTGTGTCTCTCTTTTCTCTCTCTGTGTCTCTCTCTCTCTCTCTGCCCTCTCCCCTCTGTCTCTCTCTGTCCCCTCTCTCTGTCTCTCTCTGTGCTCTCTCTGTCTCCCTCTGTGTCTCTCTCGTCTCCCTCTGTGTCTCTCTCTCTCTCTGTGTCTCTCTCTGTCTCCATCTGTGTCTCTCTCTGTCTCCCTCTGTGTCTCTCTCTCTCTCTGTCTCTCTCTCTGTCTCTCTCTCGCCTGTGACACTCTCTCACCCGTGACACCGTGACAATGTGTCCCCCCCCACCGGCTGTTACAACCCACTAACATAACATTTCTCTTCTCTGTCATATAAATTATGTTAATTTTCAATATAAATAACTGGCGTAATCGCTTCTATAATTCTAAGTGCATGTAGTTGCCTCGTTTATTATATCATATTTCCTATAATCGTGTATAATTATGTAGTTAGCGATATTTTAATGACTGACGACTACACGAGGGTTATTTGCGACGTTTTATCCAACTATGAAGGCTCTTGATCCAACGAATCGGAGCGATCACTGCTTGAAATCAA